TTCCATCCATTTAGTTGCTGAAATTGGATTATCACTATTTTGATCTGTATTTTTCATATGTTTAATAATTTTCCAAAATTCTTTTGAATTTCCTTGTTGAAGATAATTTTCTTGGATTTTGTTTTTCTTTTAAGAAAATTATCTTAATAAAATCAGAACTCTTCAACAAGGAAATTCAAAAGAATTTTGGAAAATAATATCTATAAAAAATACCAGGTTGAAGAATATTAGTTGCTCTTTCAAATTTCGCCAAAGCCTTACCTATATTTTACCGATACCTGCAGAATAAATCAAGAAAACTACACAAATTGACTCTGTTAAATTATTCATAAATGGAGTCAATTGTCTATTTCTTACACAAGATACCAGCCGATACCCCCCCCCCCCCCTCCGCTCATAGGGACTGCGTACAGTTGATTATAGTTCCTGGGCTCCCTGTGTATGTACCAAAAAAGGAATGTCAAATTTTCTTTACGGTTATAATAAAGTATTCTATTCAATTCTATAGTGAAAAATTATGCTGGTGGAATAATAGTAATTGTGCTTGTAATCTATATGTGGTAGGAGGTTGAGGTTCATCAGATCACCCACCCATCATAATTGTTTATTTCCTGATATCATGCTATGTTGTTCATTGAATTTTTGGATTCATTTTCATTATTTTGCTATTTTGCCAAGTATACACTGTAACTGTATGTACACATATTACAACCAGTACATGTCATAGCACCATCAATTTCATCTCTCATTTGTATAAATATGAATTTGTGATATTTTTTTTAATATATAGTAATGTTATTAATTGTTTACAGCCTGGAAGAGTTGTAACACTTATCAAAGATCCCAAGGTCAGTGAAAAAAGTGTAAAGCATATATTATTCGTTTTGGGTCACATGCGATTAATACAACACATGTAAAATACATTGTTTGTTCACACAAAATTTTAAATGTGTACTTCCTTATGACAGTGTCATTTTCTTAATATATTGGAATCTGCGTCTAATAGTAACATGGTTCATTAGAAAACACAATAACTTGTATATTAATTTATCTGTTTACAGGAGTGTGTTTGGGGAGTTGCGTATGAAGTCCCTGAAGATGAGATTGAAAGAGTAAAGGATCACTTGGATTATCGTGAAAAGGGTGGATACACATGCGAAACGGTTAAATTTTATCCACAAGATACAAGAACAGAACCATTCTCTGTTACTATCTATATCGGGACTGAGCAAAATCCTAATTACCTTGGAGAAGCTAATATGGATGACATCGCTAAACAAATAGTCCAATCTATAGGACCCAGTGGTAAAAACACAGAGTACCTGTTTGAATTGGCCAATGCAGTCAGGAGTCTATTCCCAAATGTAGAAGATTTTCACCTATTTGAATTAGAGCAAAGAGTTAGAAATTTAGGTAAACACATGGATTATACACCCATTAACACAAGTTGATGTTTGATAACCGAAATAATTTATCCAATAATTACTATATACTGGTAAATATTTTGACAAATGTTTTCTTAATTAAATGATCTAGATTTGATTGCTATTGTACCTGTATTGTTGGTTGTATTTTCCATCTGTGTGCTTTAATTACCTAATTTGCATAAACAATTTTGGATTTTCTCCAGTGATATAATTTGATTCACTATTTGATGAAATTCTGTCAGAGGTATTGCTACATGATGGTTTATAAACATGATTATGTTTTGTTATGTTTCTATGGTTTTCAAAATGATATTTTGGTTTATTTTTAGAAAATATTACTGTTTATTTTTAGGTTCACTTTAAAATGGTTTCAAAACCATTTGTCTGACATTTTGATTGGTTACCGTATTGCATCAACATGTTGGTCTATTGACTTTGCCCAGTTCTGCTCTGATTGTAGTGAACAGATATTTAAAAAAACAGTTAACATAAAATCCAATATAAACTATAATTGTTACCTTCCCCGTATCATCAAAGATGGAAGGGAAAGGTATATGTAGGGAAAAATGTCTGTCGTCATTGTTGTTGTCGTTGTTGTTTTTGTTATTGTGTGCACAATAACTTCCCTAATTCTATTCCAAATTTGTTCAAACTGGGTCACCTAATTCATCAATATAAAATCTTCCCTTAGTATGAACGACAGATGTCCTGTGTAAAAATATTTCTATTGAAACAAACTATGATAAAGGAAATAATATTATATAACAAAGGGCAAGGTTACCAGAGTTCAACTATGTGTTTTTTGTATTTGGTCAATGAAAAGAAGATTTGAAAGCTATATATAACATGACATTTTTATCATCTGTAATGATTCATGTAAAAGGTGCATTTACAATGGTGCATCTCTACCTTAAATTGTTTAATATAATATTCGACTTGATCAAAACAATTTTTGACCTAGTTTCTGAACGATGCCTGTGCATTGTAGGTTTGGGGTTAATACAAAACCCCCAATAAACAAGAGTTCTTTCAAGGCTTTCTTTGAACTTTACAGTGTTAAAATTAAAGGTCAACTTATGAACTTTCCATAGCGACTTCCAAAATTGTATACTGTGCCATTGAAATATGACTTGCTCTGTAATTTACTCAAGTTCTACAGCAAATACGGTATTATGATTTTTTGGCAAGCATGTATTGAAATGCACCTTATTCAATATTTAATGAATTGGCACAACATCCGGTTGTACCAGTACCAATTCACTAAATATAGAGTTGTATTGAAAGATTTACACCAACATCGTATTTACCTGGCCAACATCAAAATAATTAATAAACTACATGTACGTGCTTGCAAACATAATCTGAGGATCTGTTTTAAACCATGATTGTTAAATTTTTTTTTTTATTGGCAGTGGGTTTTATTACTAAACAGGAACAGTGGTGCCCCATTACTTTTACTCACTGCAATTTTTGTTAAGGCAGTTTGATCCAAATTTGCACTACTGAGCATATTACTGCACATACCCTCGGTATATATGCTTAATGGGAAATAACCTCCCACTGTATATAATATGAGGTAATTATGAGATACCAAAAAGTATGCAAAGACAGTACAGCAGAAGTATCGACTGATGCGCAGCGGGGGTCAATAAGATCGTGTACTGTTTGAGTGGATACTTTTCTGTATCCTCGTAATAACCTTATTATTATACATCTTTTCCTCCCAAGGTTACATCATGGAAATGCCGAAATACAAAAAGTCTAGAACAAATTGAGTGAACTTCTTTGTATGGGGTCCAGTCAAACCATGGGGGCTGCCATGTTTGTTTTTATTATTATAGGACACTTACGCCGTAATCGTTCCATATTTGGAATTCACATTTACCAATATGGTAGGATGAAAATACCCTGTAATATTATGGTGACAGATGTATAATAATAGAAAATAGTACCAGGACTGTCACTAAATTATTTAAATTTTTTGAAATGAAAAATTTTGAGATAGCAATAAACAAGTCAATATTAATGACATAGTTCCTGTTGGAAATGTCATTTGAGGGAAATGTTATTCATGCCAAAAATAAAGTAATATGGACCAAAAGCATAGTTAATAATTTAGAGGGAATAAATGACTTTTCCAAAATCGTAATATACATGTATAGTCAGAAATTAAACAGGATATACTATTCATGCATTTTTTGTATCCAAACTGTCCAGGCTCATGTACAGAGATACAAAACGAATCATCATGGACATATATCTCAACATGTATAATGTTTGTATCAAATTTGAATGAAAACCGACAAAGCATGCAGAAGACATTTTCAAAAAACAAAATGGCTGCCAGTAAGCCATCTTGAATTGAATCAGTAAACCACTGCATGTGCACATGTCCCAGATAAAATACTAGGCACATGCAAAAAATGAACAGATTTGGTCCACAAGGTTCTGAAATATGACTCCGGATGGACGGAGACTGATTTATAAGTCCCCATTTTGGGACTAATAATCTCACCATAGAGTGTAAAAATTACAATTTTCCATGATATTTCGAATATTGTATTTCAAAAAAATCATCCAGTGACCCTAATTTTTTTATTTTTAGATTTCTGATGGTATAAACTTATAAATAATGAAAGTATGACGAACATGACATATAATCTTCAATTCAGCTCGGACCTCGTTAAATAAAACTGATAAATATTATTGCAGATAAATATTATTTGTGATTCTGGTTTAGTAAGTTCAAAAAGTATATGCAATGATTCTGGAATTAGTAATACATGTACATTACTTAATCAAACATGTAATTGCATAGAATAGTCAATACTAAATAAAAACATTACTGATATTATTACACTCAGCACTTCATAGTAGGACATTGTTTAAAATTCACAACTTTAATAATTGTTGCTTCTGATTCATATGCGCTAAATTTCTCAATGACAGATGTCATATTTAATAGTACACAATTGTTTAACTTTTTGAAAACCATATTCAGCCAAGTCCATTTGAATTCTGTCAAATGTTTGTGCATGCATTATTGAGTTTTCAAATTGTGTATATTATTGAATTCAATTTCAGTTTATTTATTATTTCTTCTCATAGTCTTCAGTTAAGAATATCTCATTGAC